TCGGAGGAATAAGTCTTTTGCTTTTTCTATTAATATGTATTTTAATTTTTGATAGTATTACAGATATCTCCCATTTACCCCCCCTTCTTCTAACCACCCCACTCCAGGACTTCACTGCCCTATTCACTATGTCCAAGGGCTATATGCACATAATTATATAAGTTCTTTGGTTTATCTCATATCCTCTTCCCAATCTCCACACCAAGGTATGTCCATCTGTTCAATGCCTCCATGCTTCAGGTCTTATTTTGTTGGTCTATTCATTTTGTTCGTCAGATTCTACAAATAAGTGAGATCATATGATATTTGTCTTTCTCAGTTTGGCTGATTTCACTTAGCATATTATTTTCCAGGTCCATCCATGCCGTCCTAAGGGTAAGAGATGCCTCTTTTTTACAGATGCATAGTATTCTGAAGTATAAATATCACACAGCTTTTTTATCCATTCATCTGCTGAGGGGAACTTGGACTGTTTCCAAGTCTTGGAAATTGCAAATAATGCTGCTATGAACATAGGGGTGCATATATTTTTTCTGATTGGTGCTTGGGGTTTTTAGGAAATATTCACAGATGTGGTGTCATTGAGTCAAATGTAAGTTCCATTTAAAATTATTTAAGGAAACTCCATATTGTTTTCTATAGAGGCTGTACCTATCTGAATTCCCACCAGTAGTGAATTAGTGTTCCCTTTTCTCCGTATCCTCTCCAGCACTTGTTTTTTTGTTGATTTTTTTATGATAGCCATTCTGATAGGTGTGAGTTGACATCTCATTCTGGTTTTAATTTTCATTTCTCTGATAATTAGTGACTTTGATCATTTTTTTCATATGACTCTTGGCCATCTGTATATCCACTTTAGAGAAAAGTCTATTCAGGTCTCCTGCCCATTTCTAAATTGGATTGTTTGTTTTCCTTTTGTTGACTTGTATGAGTATTTTATACATTTTGGATATTAACCCCTTATCAGAAGTATCATTGGCAAATATGTTCTCCCATACAGTTCCCTTTTCATTTTGATGGTGGTTTCTTTTGCTGTGCAGAAGCTTTTTATTTTGATGTAGTCCCATTTTTTTTAAATTTTCTCCTTAATTTCTTTTGCCCTAGGAGATGTATCTGTAAACATATTGCTATGAGAGATGTCTGAGATTTTACTGCCTATGTTCTCCTCTAAGATTTTTATGGTTTTATGCTTTACATTTAAGTCTTTTATCCACCTTGAGTTTATTCTTGTCTGTTGTGTAAGTTGGTGGGCTAGTTTCATGTTTGTGCATGTGTCTGTCAGGTTTTTCCCAGCAACATTTGTTGAAAAGACTGTCCTTACTTCATTGTATGTTCTTTTCTCCTTTGTCAAATATTAATGGATCATAATGATGTGGGTCAATTTCTGGGGTCTCTGTTCTGATCCATTGGTTTATATGCATGCTCTTGTGCCAGTACCAGGCTGTTCTGGTTTTATGGCTTTGTAGTACAGTTTGATATCTGGTATTGTGATCACTCCTACTCTGTTCTTTTTTTCTCAAGATTGTTGCAGCTATTTTTTTTATGGTTCCTTATAATTTTTTGGAGTATTTATTCTAGCTCTGTGATGTATGCCATTGGCATTTTAATAGGGATTGTGTTGAATCTGTAGATTGCTTTAGGTAGTTTAGACATTTTAATGATGTCAATTCATCAAATCCATGAACGTGATATATGCTTCAATTTGTTTGTATCTTCCTATATTTCTTTTTTCAATGTCCTACAGTTTTCCAAGTACATGTCTTTGACATCCTTGGTTAAGTTTATTCCTAGGTATCTTTTTTGTTGTTGTTGCAATGGTAAATGGTATTGTTTGTTTAGTTTCTCTTCCTGAGAGTTTATTATTGGTGTATAATAATGCTATAAATTTGTGGATGTTGATTTTGTATCCTGTTACCTTGCCAAATTCATTTATTAAGTCTAATCGTTTCCTGGTGAAGTCTTTAGGGTTTCTTATATACAGTATCATGTCATCTGTGAACAATGACAGTTTTACTTCCTCCTTCCTAATTTGGATACCTTTTATCACTTAATGTCTGATTGCTGTGGCTATGACTGCTGGTACTATGTTGAATAAGAGTGGTGGAAGCAGACACACTTGTCCTGTTCCTGTTCTTAAAAGAAACAATTTTAGTTTTTGCTCATTGAGTATTATGTTGGCTGTAGCTTTATCATATATGGCCTTTATTATGTTGAGATATGATCCCTCCATTCCCACTTTACTGAGGTTTTTATCAAAAAAGGGTCCTGGATTTTGTCAAATGCTTTTTCTGCATCTATTGATATGATCATTTTATTTTTATCTTTCAATTTGTTTATGTGATGTATCACATGTATTTATTTGCAAATATTGTAGCAGTCTTGCATCCCCAGAATAAATCCCACTTGAGCATGGTATATGATCTTTTTAATATATTGCTGGACCTGATTTGCTAATATTTTGTTGAGGATTTTAGCCTCTGTGTTTATCGGGGATATTGGCCTGTAATATTCTTTATTTGTATTGTATTTATCTGGTTTTGGAATTAGGATAATACTGACTTCATAAAAGGGCTTTCTCTTGAATATGTGGAATAGTTTGAGGAGGATAGGTGTTAATTCTTTGAATGTTTGGTAAAATTCTTCTATAAATCCACCCAGTCCAGAACTTTTATTTGCTGGAAATTTTTGAATTACTTCTTAAATTTCATCAGTTATAATTGGCCTACTCAGGTTTTCTGATTCTCCCTTGTTGAGTTTTCGAAGATTGTATGTTTTTAGGAGTTTGTCCATTTCGCCCAGGTTGTCCAGTTTGTTGTCATATAATTGTTCATCGTATTTGCTTACAATCCTTTGTATTTCTGTGGTGTCCTTGGTATATCGCCTCTTTCATTTCTTATTTTATTTATCTGGGTCCTCTTTCTATGTTTCTTGATGACTCTGGCTAGGGGTTCATTAATGTTGTTTATCTTTTGAAAGAACCAGTTCTTGGATTTATTTAACTTTTGTACTTTTTTTTTTTAGTCTCTATGTCATTTATTTACTCTCTGATCTTTATTATTTCCTTCCTTCTAATTCCTCTGGGCTTTTCTTCTTGTTCTCTTTCTAATTAAATTAGTTTTAGGGGAAGATAGTTTATTAGTGCTTTTTCTTGTTTCTTGAGGTAGGCCTGTAGTGCTATGAACTTCCCTATCAGGACTGCTTTCACCGTGTTCCATTGGTTTTGGGTGGTTGTGTATTCATTTTCATTTGTTTACAGGAAGTATTTAATTATTTGCTTTATCACATTGGTAACCCATTCATTGATTAATAACATGCTATTTAGCCTCCATGTATTTTAGTGTTTTTGAGAGTTTTTTTTTAATTGTAGTTGGTTTCTAACTTCATGTCATTTGATCTGAGAAGATGCTTGGTATTACAGCACTCTTCTTGAATTTATGTACACTTGTTTTGTGCCCTAACATGTGGTCTACCTTTGATAATGTTCCATGTGCATTTGGGAAGAATGAATATTTTGTTGCTTTGGGGAGAAATGTGCTATAAGTATCTGTTAGATCCCTCTGATCTAGGGTGTCATTTATAGCCTTTGTTTCCTTGTTAAATTTTTGTCTGTAATACCTATCGAGTGATGTCTGGGGGTGTTAAAGTCCCCTACAATGGCTGTATTGCTGTCATTCTCTCCCTTAAAGTCCATCAAGAGTTTTTATGTATTTAGGTGCTCCTATATTGAGGCATCAGTCTTATTCAAGGACTGTGCTGAAAGGGTCTTCCTTCTAGGAGAAACAGACACTCAGATGTGGTTGTTGGTTGTCTTCCATGGTTCGGGCCTATGCTTAAGAAATCCTGAAGACTTCAACTTTATAGACACATTAAAAAGATAAGCAGAGAATACTGAATAGAAATAGGGAAAGAGCTATATAGGATTTGGTGTTTAACTTAAGACATAGTGATTTTTAAAACATTGTTCAGGTTGTAGGCTATGCTGTTCTGTTATCAACCTTCCAGTGTCCTATTAAGTAGACATACCTACAGAAGTGAAACTAAGAAAGTATAACTCTAATGATGTTACTCTGTATGAGTTATTATTATTATTTATGTATCAAGAGACTTTAGAGTAACTCCAGAGAACAGTCAATACTTTCTGTCTATACATCTTCAACATATTAGTTTAAAATAGAAAAACCTCATTAGGTTTCTACGGTAAGGTGGTAACTTTAAAAATAAGGCATTTTGTTCTTCTGTCATTCAGAAACCCTAATGAGATGGCTGCATATGTGAAATCTAAAAGAACACTTTGCCTTCCGCCCCTGTGCCCTTTTCTCTCCTGCAGGGATGGGACGGCTTGAATAATACACCTACTTGGCTTCTTCCTCTTTTTTTAATATATATATTTTTATTGATTTCAGAGAGGAAGGGGAAGGGAGGTAGAAACACCAATGATGAGAGAGAATCATTGATTGGCTGCCTCCTGCCCATCCCCCACTGGGGATCAAGATAGCAACCTGGGCATGTGCCCTAAATGGGAATCGAACTATGACCTCCTGATTTATAGGTCGATGTTCAACCAGTGAGCCATGCCAGGCAGGCTACTTAGCTTCTTAAAGGGAAGAAGAAAAGCTCCATTTTGAATATTAATAGGGAGAGGGGAGTTCCCACTGTGATGTCCCAAAGTCAGATTTTGTGTTACTTCCTACATTAGCTTATGAGAAACAGCTACCAGCAGCAGCTCAGAGTTCTCACTTGAACCACTTTGCTCCTTCATCCCTGAGCACTTAGCTTCCAAAGGTCAGAGTGAGTAGCCCAAGGGAAGTGCCTGGCGTTCCCCAAGTCCTTTAGGAGAGAGGTCAGGCACAAGGGTTCTATAGACCTACTGTGAGTTCAGAGTTTTCTCACAGACAGGACACTAGTGGCCAATAGAGAAGGACACTTATGGGCAGAGTCATTGCAGTGGGAAAAGTAGGAAGTCAATCCTAATGCTGTGGTTTTGTTTCCTGATGTCCCAGTGCTTGGAAATCAAGATTCACAACTGCGACTTGTCTTAGTGGGTAAGACTGGAGCAGGAAAAAGTGCCACAGGGAACAGCATCCTTGGAAGGAAAGCATTTAATTCCAGCATTGCAGCAAAATCCATCACCAAGGCCTGTCAGAAAGAGAGAAGCATGTGGAATGGGAGAGAAATAGTCGTCGTGGACACACCTGGCATTTTCGACACGGAAGTACCGGATGCTGACACACAAAGAGAGATTGCTAAATGTATCCTCCTGACCTCCCCAGGGCCTCACGCTGTGCTCCTGGTGGTCCCGCTGGGCCGCTACACAAAGGAAGAACAAAAGGCCGTGGAGAAGATGCTATCAATGTTTGGACCCAAAGCGAGGAGATACATGATTCTCTTATTCACCCGGAAAGATGACTTGGATGGCATGGAGTTCCATGATTACTTAAAGGAAGCACCAGAAGGCATTCAAATTCTGATGAAGCAGTTCAAGGATCGCCACTGTGAGTTCAACAATAAGGCAACAGGGGCTGAGCAGGAGGCTCAGAGGACACAACTGCTGGACCTGGTCCAGCGCATGGTGAAGAAGAACGAGGGAGGATTCTACACTAATAAGATGTACCAAAGGGCAGAAGTGGAGATTCAGAAACAGATTCAAGCTAAACAAGAACAATACAGAGCTCAGCTGAAGAAAGAGAAAAGGCAGTTAAAAGAGGAGTATAAAGAGAAAATCAGAAAGCTAGAGGATACAGTAGAGCAGGAAATGAGAAAGGCAGAAATGGAGAGGAAATTTGAAGAAAGGGAGAAATACTATTACCTCATGCAACAAAATGCTAGAGGTGAAGTTGAGAGTCAGGAAGGGATGCTTGATTTAATCTTGAAAGGATTAAGAGTAATCTGGAGAGAAATCTCATCTCTGTTCAAGGAAGATTAGGCTAATGAAAATCTGTCTAAATTTCCTGTGTGTTTTCAGGTGCGTCTGCCCCATATAACTCATTCCCCAAAGTCAGAGCTCTCTGTTTCTGTCTCTCAGGTTCTGGGGTGTGTAGTAAAGTTCAGTCATGGAAATTGGTAGACTTTTGGTTGATCTAAGAGGGAAGGAAAACATCCTCAATTTGTAAAACTCCAAAGCAGAAAGTATGGATGCTCCCTATCTTCTGAACTCTCAGAGACAGAGAGAAAATGAATGCAGGAGATCAAAAGACCATGACCCCAAGCTTTCTCTATTTATCCTTAGTAAAGTTTCCTCCTCTATATTCTTTCTAGATTGGCACATAATCTCCACCCGTGGCTCCTACTCCTTATTTTTATCTTTAGGATCACAATGCTCATTTTACAGATGTGGTTAGAGAAATCAATTCTTTGCCTTAGATAATCTATAGATAGAGATGTTTATAAAATTCTTTCTATATATACATAAATTTGTTGAATTTAATTTTTATGGAAGGACTGAAATTGGCCCTTATCATCTGCCCACTGGAGAACTAATATTTGTCTGGAAACTGTTTCTCAGAACTTAACTAAGTGAAATGCCAGAAAGAGCAAAAGACAAGAGATTCAACAGCTAAGAGAACAATGTTCGGTATATTCAGATGTTTCTGTAGAAAGTTGTTGAGCAAACTCAATGTAACCACTTTGCTGAATAACTAGTTCTCTTCTTTTCTTGTGAAACTAACTGTTGCCACCACACCTCCATTACACCACACCTTGATTACTTACTGCTAGGTGTATCATCCTCACACTGCTGCCTCCACTCATTTGAATTGTTTGCTCATTGTTACCATAATAAAACGTTTCTATTCTCTCTTATTTGTGCAAAACTGAAATTTCTTTTACTTTATAAAATATCACCAATACTTCTAAGAGTACAGGAATGAATTTCACTTTTTGATAAAAATTCAAGATCCTTTTGGAGCTTTGCTTGGTCTACACCCTAATATGTATCTCCAGCATTCTCCATTTGAACCACATTCTTAATCTCTCTGCACATCAGAGACAACATTCTCCTTGAATTCATTCATTATGAATTCTGATATCTTTGTGAGTTTCCTGGGGGAGGGGGATTTTTTAATATATGAATAATAGTAATTGAAGTTTATCCCTTTTCTAATAGGTACTCCTACCCTAATAATTCATAGGCTTTCCCAAAGCACGTTTCCATGTTCTACCAGTATGTCCTGATGGTCACATGCCACTGTCCTTGCTCTGCCATCTTGAAAGTGGCTTTTCCATGTCCCACTTCATTTTGTCTTCAATATACCTACACCTTACTTCCCCCAAACACAAATGAATTTCGATTGTACATTTAACAAAACTTAGCAAAGATTCAAGGATATGTGACTGGTTCTTTCAGAAATAGTCATTCACAGTGAGACACATTTGGTTTCACTTTGCAGAATATGGGGTGCACTCCCATTGGAGTTTTACACAAAATTATGAGATTGGAAGTTAACATCCTCTTGTCTCAGGAGCTTCTAGAAGCACATATTGAACCAAAGAAAGAGCCACACATACCTAGCATGAAAAAATTAAATACAGGCTTAATATGAAAAAAGTCTTTAAGAGCTCTGTGCTACTTTCTGTGTAAATGCACTCACTTATTCTTACCCTTGAATTCAGGTTTATGCTGTAGATGAGGCTAAGTAAAAGGTTCTGCTCTTGATAAGCTGTGAGAAGATGAGTAGCCCATCTGAAAACCCTGAGAGCAGTGTTGCCCATTTGTCTCTCTGGGCAGAAGGCAGACAGAAGGTCTTGATAAATAACATGCATTGTGGTTAGTATGATTGAAGAATGAGGCATGTTTCCTTCTCTGAAAAGTGTTGGGAGTTTATACTATTCATACATTCACTAACAGTCATTGATTGTTTGAACTTGATGGAAGATTTCGTAGGAGACATTGAGAATCTAGAGAAAGTAAAATAAAGTCCATTTTGAGAATGGCTTCCTTCACTTAGCATAATGATTTTGAGAATCATTCAAGTTGCTTGTGAATAGATGTTCTCTTTTACTGATGAATAGTATTCCACCTTATGGATGTACCACAGTTCCTTTATCACTTCTTTATTTATTCTTACGCCCCTAATTGATTTTCTTGCCAAATTGCATTGGCTGAAATCTCCTTTATAACATTGAATTGTAGTGGAAGGGCATGCTTACTTTTTTCCATGATATGCCTTTAGTATTTCCCTGTTAAGTGAGTGAGATACTGGAAAACAGGAGTATATGATGTGTGTGTGTGTGTGTGTGTGTGTGTTGTGTAATCATTAAGTAAATATCTCCCGATCACTATTTTCTTGAGGGTTTTCATCATTAACAGCAATTAATTTTGTCCAAAGGCTTTTAAAATTCATCTAGGTGGTACTTGGGTAGTGGCCTGTGTAGCCAAACTCTGGAGAAGCTCTCTGTGATGCAGAAGCTGGGCACTGAGGAAACCACATACACTGAATGAGTCCATAGGTAAAATATCCAATGAGGAGGACAGGAGAGAAGCTTATATCCTCATGTGATAACCAGTATTTTAGGAACTGATAAACTGAAGTAGAGAAAAAATGGTGGCTGAATAGGCAGCAGTGTCGTGCACCTCTTCTTGGGCCAGAAAAGCAACTAAATTGAAGAACATCCACCCTGAATTAACAAATTAATCACAGTTGAAGAGACAAATTTTCATAAAAAACACAGAGGACTCCTAGATAATGTCACTTTCTAGTCATAACACATGTGGAACCACCACCATGCTCCTACAGTGAGTGGCACAATACCTCCTGGCAGGCTCTCAGACATCTGCAGGGAGCATGCTGCCAGAGTGAGCTCCTGAGCTAGGCCTTCTCACCAGCCCGCTGGGACCCAGCATCCTAGGATCTGGTTCCAAGACACCACAGTAGTGCAAGCCTGGGAGAACCATGTGCCCCACCCCCACCACAGACCCCAGAACTGTGCTTCTAGCCTGATCCAAAGCCACCCAGCACCCACACTATGTCCAGCACTGGGACCTGTTGTCGGGGTGACTGGGAGCAACCCAGAGCATGCCACAGAGGAGCTCTGACTGTGGAACCCTCTCCTTCCCAGCCCCCCAGGACAGTCCTGCCAGGGCCATCTGGAGCAAGCCAAGGCTCCCCTAACTCTGGGTGAAAGGGTAGCATGGAATGAGTGGCCAATGGCAACCAGCCTCCACTTCATACTGATAAGTGGCGAACTGGAACAACCCAGCACATGTCTCACTCCAGCTACAAGAAAACAGGACAGTGTGACCCAGTGTAGCCCCAACCCTCTTCTCCCCAGCCCCTGGGACAGTCCTGCAGGGGCTACCTGGAGTAACCCAGCACAAATCTCACTCCAAGCCATAGGAAAGCACTGCTGAGGCAACCTGGAGCAAGCTGGTGTGCCCAGCCAGGGGCCACAGGACTGTGCTGCAAGTGCACTGCCAGAGGTACTTAGGGTGCCACCCTGCTGCAGGTGCTGGGGCTACACAGTGAATTTCATGCCAGAGGGCTCTGGGTCCTCAAAGGTCATCGTACATTAGAGGAACTGTGAACATGGTCCCATCATACCAAGCATCTAAAGCAGAAAACTGAGGGACCAGATCCATGGGACAAGGGGATACAACTCGGAGCAGAGACAATAAAGGCATGATACTCAAGGCAGACCCAGGCTTTGGAATAATGATTTCTAGACTATTGCCCTGATAAGGTATTTAACCTCTCAAACCCAAGCAGGATGCACAGGGCCAGAGAGGGACAGAAAAAATGGGAGACAAAGAAAGAACCCACCAAGGAAAGAAAAGGAGATATCACCAGAAAAGAAACTAAGTGAAATGGAAGAATGCAATATGTCAGGAAATTAATTCAGAGTAAGGGTCATACAGTTCATAAACTAGATGGAAGAGAAAAATCAAATACTTTTGTAAGAATAAAGAGGAAATAAGAAAAGATATAGCTACAATAAAAAACATGATGGAAGGTTTCAACAGTAGACCAGAGAAAGCAGAGGACCAAATTAGTGAGTTAGAAGATAGGGTAGTTAAACACATCCTATCTGAACAGTAACTGAAGAAAAAAAAAGAAAGCAGGAGGAGAGCCTAGGAGAGCTTTGGGACAACACCAAATGAAGTAACATACATATAATAGGAGTGCCCGAAGAACAAGAAGAAGAGCAAGGATCAGAAAACCTAATTGAAAAAATAATGACAGAAAACTTCCCTGATTTGGGAAGGAAAAAGTCACACAAGTACAGAGAGTCCCAAACAAGACAAATGCAAAAAGACCCACACCAAGACAAGTCATTATTACAATGGCAAACATTAATAAAAAAGAGAGAATCTTAAAGGCTACAAGAGAGAGACAGAGAGTTACCTATAAAGTGTCTCCCCTTAGATTATCAAATGATTTCTCAACAGAAACACATCAGGTCAGAAGGGAATGGAATGAAGTATACAAAGTAATGCAAAGTAAGGGACTGAATCCAAGAATACTCTATCCAGCAAGGCTATCATTCAATATTGAAGGGGAAATCAGGAGCTTTGCAGACAAAAATAATGTAAAGGGAGTTTATCACTACCAAGCCAGCAATGCAAAAAATGCTAAAGGGACTGTTTTAAAAAGAAGAAGTAGAAAAGAAAGAAGGAACACAGGCATACAAATAGAAATAGCTACAAATTAGTACATGTAAATAATGACTTTAAACATAAATGGACTAAATGCTCCAATCAAAAGATATGGAGTGGCTGAATGGATAAGAAAACATGATCCATATACATGCTGTCTACATGAGCCCTATCTGAGAACAAGGGACTCACACAACTAAAAATGAAGGTATGGTAAAATATTTTCAGACAAGTGGAAATGAAAGAAAACTTCAGTCCACAGGGTGATGCTCCATCCACTGAGCCAAACCAGCTAGCCAGGCTCACCAAGAAGCATAGAGAGAGGACTCAAATACACAAAATCAGAAATGAAAGACGTGAGATAACACCAGAACCCACAGATATACAAAGGATTTCAAAAAAATACTATGAACAACTCTATTCCGACAAACTGCTCAACCTAGGAGAAATGGACATATTCCTAAAAAAATATGACCTCCCAAAACTTAATCAGGAACAATAAAAAATTTTGAATAGGCCAATAACTATGGAGAAAATTGAAGCAGTAATAAAAAAACTTCCAGCAAAGAAAAGCCCTGGGCCAGATGGCTTCACAGGGGACTTTGACCAAACATTCGAAGAAGAACTAAAACCTATCCTCCTCAGACTATACCAAAATATTCAAGAGGAAGGAATACTTACAAGCTCTCTCTCTCTCTCGCTCTCTCTTTTTTAGAATTTAAGTGGTTTTTATTGTATACTTTTATCACACTTTTTAGTATGTTTGTAAATATTCTAGTACTTTTGTAAATGTTCATAATGATTCATTGAAAGCAAAATACTCAAATATTCCCCTGTTGGTCCTATCAGTGAAAATGGAATAGACATTTGTTTCATCAAATGATTATTTATAATAAATTTAAATAATCTTGCACCATCAAATAATATTTGCTAAGGAAATTTCATACTTTCAATTGAAACATGAAGAAAACATAAACTGGGAAGGAGAATCAATAAATTACAATATGTAGGAAAAGCAAAATGGAACAGCAAGAAACTAGCAATGGGAATGGTATTTTTGTAAAAGGCCTGGAAAGAAATCAAGAGTGCAAAAAGTCCTAGTTCTTTCTACAGAAGTGCATTAAACTGATTAACTTTCAAACTAAAGTTTAAAACTATTTGAGAGTAGAAATTGTATTTTACTTAATTTTATTTTGTGTTTTTTTCCTACAAAACTCTCCTTTTTTAAAAAAAATTTCTTTATTGATTAAGGTATTACATATGTGTCCTTATCACCCATAACCTCCCTATCCCCCCCCCACTCATGCCCTCACCCTCACCCCCGTTGTCTGTGTTCATTGGTGAGGCTTATATGCATGCATACACGTCCTTTGGTTTATCTCTCCCCGTTACCCCCACCCTCCCTTACCTTCCCTTTAAGGTTTGATGGTCTGACTGATGTTTCTCTGTCTCTAGATCTGTTTTTGTTCATCAGTTTATGTTCATTATATTCCATAAAGGAGTGAGATCATGTGATATTTATCTTTCTCTGACTGGCTTATTTCACTTAGCATAATGTTCTCCAGTTCCATCCATGCTGTATGAAGCCAGCATTACCCTAATCCCAAAACCAGATAAAGACACTAAAAAGAAAGATAACTACAGGCCAATATCTCTGATGAACAGAGATGCTAAAATCCTCAACAAAATCCTAGCAATTCAGATTCAGCATTACATTAGAAAGATCTACACCATGACCAAGTGGGATTTATTCCGGTTATGCAAGGATGCTACAATATCTGCAAATCAATAAATGTTATATATCACATAAACAAACTAAAAGACGAAAATTACATAATCATATCAATAGATGCAGAAAAATAATTTGACAAAATGCAACATCCTTTCTTGATAAAAACTCTCAGCAAAGTGGAAATAGAGGGAACATACCTCAACATTATAAAAGCCTTATGTGACAAACCTACAGCCAACATCATACTCAATGGGCAAAAACTAAAACCTTTTCCCCTAAGAACAGGAACAAGACAGGGATGCCCACTCTCACCACTCCTGTCCAACATAGTACTAGAAGTGCTAGCCATAGCAATCAGACAAGAAGAGGAAATAAAAGGCATCCAAATTGGAAAAGAAGAAGTCAAACTGGCATTATTTGCAGATGCCATGATATTGTACATAGATAACACTAAAGACTCCATCAAAAAACTACTAGATTTAATAAATGAATTCGGCAATGTAGCACGATAAAAAAATCAACACCTAGAAATGTATGGCTTTTTATACACCAATAATGAACTCACAGAAAGGGAAACAACAACAACAAAAACAATCCCATTTACCATTGCACCACCAAAAAGGTTAAGATACCTAGGAATAACCTTAACTAAGAAGGTAAAGGACCTGTGCTCAGAAAACTACAGGACATTGAAAAAAGAGATAGAGGAAGACATAAACAAATGGAAGAATATACTGTGTTCATGGATTAGTAGAATCAACATCATTAAAATATCCATACTACACAAAGCAATCTATAGATATAATGTATTCCCCATTAAAATACAAATGGCATATTTCACAGATCTAGAACAAACTCTCCAAAAAATCATATGAAATTTAAAAAAAAAAACAAACCCTGAATAGCCACAACAATCTTGAGGAAGACGGACAAAGTTGGAGGAAACACAATACTAGATATCAAACTCTATTACACAGCCAATATTTTCAAAACTGCCTGGTATTGGCACAAGAACAGATATATAGACCAATAGAACAGAACAGAGAAACCATAAATTGTCCCAGACATTATGCTCAATTAATATTTGACAAAGGAGGCAACATCATACCAACAATGGAGTCAAAACAGTCTTTTCAATAAATGGTGTTGGGAAAATTGGACAGATACATGTAAAAAAATGAAAGACCACCTACTACTTACACCATACACAAAAATAAAGTCAACATGGATAAAGGACTTAAATATAAGAAGGGAAATCATAAAAATCTTAGAAGAATCCATAGGCAGCAAAATATCAGACATATGTCATAGCAATATCTTTAACAATACAGCTCCTAGGGCAAAGGAAACTAAGGAGAAAATTAACAAATGGGACTACATCAAAATAAAAAGTTTTTGCATAGAAAAAAAATTAACAACACATCAAGAAAGCCCACTGCATGGGAGAACATGTTTGCCAATGTTATATATGATAAGGGCCTAATCTGCAACATTTACAGGGAACTCATACATGTTGACAAAAGGAAGATAAACAATCCTATAAAAAATGGGCAAAGGAGAGAAGCACTTTTCAAAAGAGGACATACAGAAAGCCAAGAGACATATGAAAACATGCTCAAAGTCACTAATCATCCGAGAGATGCAAATCAAAATGACAATGAGATACCATATCACACCTGTCAGAATGGCTATCATCAACAAATCAACATACAACAAGTGCTGGTGAGGATGTGGAGAAAAAGAAACCCTCGTGCACTGCTGGTGGGAATGCAGACTAGTGCAGCCACTGTGGAAAATATTATGGAGTTTCCTCAAAAAACTAAAAATAGAACTGCCATTTGACCCAGTAATACCACTTCTAGTAATATATCCCAAGAAGTCAGAAACACCAATTAGAAAGGACATATGCACCTCTTTGTTCATAGCAGCACAGTTTACAATAGCTAAGATTTGGAAACAGCCTACTTCCCAATCAGCAGATGAGTGGATTAAAAAACTGTGGTACATCTACTCAATGGAATGCTATGCTGCTGTAAAACAGAAAGAGCTCTTACCATTCACAAAAGCATGGATGAACCTGGAGAGCATTATACTAAGTGAAATAAGTCATAGTCATTGGCCTATTCAAAATATACTTTGTGTAGTATGGAGCATTTGTCAAATATTAATTCATTATGCTAAGTGAATTATGCTAAGTTGAAGAAAGATAAACATTACATGATCTCACAACATAAACTGATGAACAGAAATAGATCCAGAGACATAGAAGAATCAAACAGACTGTCAAACCTTAAAGGGAAGGCAGGGGAGGGTGGGTAAAGGCTGGGGGCAATTGAGGCAGAAGAGATCAACCAAATAACTTGTATGCATATAAGCATAACCAATGAACACAGACAATAGGGAGGTGAAGGCTGGGGCTGGGAGGTGGGGGCAGGCTGGGAGAAGACAAGTGTGGGGGAAGGTGACATGCAATCTACACTAATAAAAGAGAAAGATCCAAATTGACCATACCTTTGTGACTCCTACCCACCAATCAAAAGTGAGTATGCAAATTAACCCA